TCCTCCCGTCTATTCAAGAGTACTTTGTGGTCCATTTGGAGGACTTTTAAGGCTGACCGCCTCTGCCAACGGCATGTTAGGCGGAGGCAGTTATCTCGATTGCTTTATTTTGGCTATTTTGTCGTTATTTGCGGACATGCATGCATGACTAACAGAAGTATATTGCACGCAGAAGGACCTTTTTTGGGGAATCCAAACGAACTAATTAGTGATTCTATGTGCGCTCTGACAGTGTTTTGTCACAATCTCAGGTGTGCCATTTTCGGGAGCAGAAAGACTTGCCTCGCAAATTTCCGAGGAAAGTTACTCAGGTGAGTTCGCTACACAGAAGGAGAACGGCGCGATTAACATTCCTCTTAGGAACACCCTGTAGTCTTCGGCCGCTGCTTTGTCCACGGAGTTACTGGTCTTCACTCTATAGCTGAGGTAATCCAAAGTAGCCGTTCTCAGCTGGAAACGAGGTATTGCCGATGGTCACGACCAGATCGACCAGAAGTGGCGGTTGCTGGTTGCCATGCCTTTCCTATCTGCGGCGCGAGCCTGAACTACAAGCCAAACAAAGCAGGGTAACTGCACTAGCCGGTTCAGCGCTCGAAAGGCAGTTCTTTCTCAGTCACCATTAGGAATGCTAAGGATATGGAATTAAAAACCTGTCGCGGTTGGTGTTCTCACCGACGATAAAAGTGCGGCAGTTCTACCGGCACAGTCGACGACGTCTGCCGCATGCGCCGCAGAATGAGCACATCATCGGTGACTTCTGCGTGTGTGAATCAGTTTATGGTGAGGCGGACTTGCGAGGCATCTATCGCACTCCCCCCCCCCTCCATCGGACTTCGGTGGCAATACGATATCAAGACGACCGGAGATGGGCGTAGACTAGGCCACACTCGGCCCGGTCCCACGGTATGTACCAACCTTTCGCGGAGGTCCGTTCGGAGCTCGCTCGCGTGAGGGCCACCTTGACAAGGGGTCGATGCAGCCTGATTCAGCTCCCTGACCACTCCAAAACACTCCCATTTGGACCGAGTCATCC